GGAGCTCCACGGGAAGGATCCACAGCTCCTGGACCCAGCTCCTGATCCCTGGAGCTCCTCCTGAAATCTGCCCCCATGGATCCGCCGTCCCTCCAGCCTGGATTTCCCTCTGGCTTCCTTCTCCCCGCAGTTTTCCCTAAATGCCAATAAAACCTTTGCTCAATCCTGCAGCTGGTTCTTGACCTCTCCAACCTTTCCAAGCATCCCACTGGGATCCCACACAGACCCCGGGGATTTTAAGCCTCTGACTCCCCACTTGGTGCCTCATTTTTCCCTCAGTTCCTCAAGTTTTGGATAAAAGATAACCAGGATGTGCCCACCTGACCTCACAGACAAGGGCCAAAAGCAGTTGGAGAGAAATTCAGGTAAAACCCTGCAGTAATACCCTTTTTGGTGTTAAATTATTCCAATTTAACCTGGATCCGAAGAACCTCCTTGGAGTTAATTTAGTTCCAATTAATTATGGGGCAAGTGAGCCCAGAAAAAGCTCAGAAAGGCAGCAGAGAACTCTGGATGGGGAATTTCCCCACTCCAGGGCATTCCTGTAGTCCCAGCACAGCCAGGGTTGGCACAGGGGACACATGTGACACAGCTACTCCCACTGAGAAATAAATTAAATTTTTAAATATAGAATTAAAAACAAAATCATGTTTTAAATATAATCCTTTTAAGATAAAATAATTTGAAAAAAATAATATTAGAAAATACTTTTAAAATATAGTAGTTTAAAAATTAAATAATTTTAAATAATCCAAAAAGTAGAATAATTTAAATATAAAATAGTTTTAAAATTAAAGATATATTAATTTTAGAATAATATAATTCTAAAAAGAAAATATTTTTTAAAAATTAAAATTCCCCCCTTGGTTTTATTTCCAGCCCAGAGCGTTCCCAAACTCCCTTGGGATAAAATATATAAAATTATTTCCACCTCTCAGAAAGAGAGGTGGAATAAATAATCCCAGAATTTTCACAGAAAGCACAAAAACAACACAAAGGAAGTGTCAGCACCTGGTTTATTCCGTTTGGTTTATTCCCTGTTTACAGCCTTTGTCATCCCCACTCCCATGGATTTCCTTTAGGGAATAGTCTGGAAGGCCCTAGGGGAAGTGGGAGGGGATTGATGCCAGATTTCACTTTCTGGGTCATTCCAAAGATATTTCGGATTTATCCATAAGCAGCTCCAGGAACCGTTTCTGGCAGGTTTTCTCCCCATGTTGTTTTCCCCTGCACAAGGAAATATTAAATCCTCCCAAAATATGGAGCTGTCCATGACTTTCCTTCCTTCCTTCCTTCCTTCCTTCCTTCCTTCCTTCCTTCCTTCCTTCCTTCCTTCCACCCTCCCTTCCTTCCTTCCTTTCCTTCCTTCCTCCCCCCCTTCCTTCCTTCCTTCCCCCAGCCCTGTCTCTCTATTCCCAGAGAGAAAAACAAAACTGGAAAACCAAACTTGTCCAGGTGTAGGATCCCACCTATCCCAACTTTCCCTTTCTCCAGAATTTACTTAATTTTTCAGCCTCCTCTCCTTCCTGAAGGCCCAAGGCAGCTTTTCCTGCCCTGCCACTGGCAGGAGTGAAGCTCCACTTCCCAAACCCCATCCATCAAATCTGATGGAGTTCTGCCCTCCATCCTTACAGAGCAATTCCGCATCTCCTGTTCCCCAACCATTGTCCTTTTGGGGTGGTTCCATGCAGGGAAAGGCTCGGGATGGGTGGGATGAGCTGATGGCAGGAGTGCTCATGCTCCTGTCCCAGCTGCATATTCCAGGAGGCTGGAGCATGTTCCTCCTCTTCCCTCTGCAATGTCCTCCCTTCCCAGCTCCACAGCCCCCAGCCCCAGCCACACATCCCAGGGGGGCACCAGAGCCCCCCAAGCCCCCAAAATGTGGGAAGAGCTTCAGGAGCTTCTCTGCTTCCCAGCCCCTCCCTGTGAAACAGCGGGAAGGGAGGAGGAAAAGGCATTCCCAGCTCCCTGCCGGCCCCGGAGAGGCTTTGCAAGGACAGGGGTGGAGGAAAAACCAGAGTCCAGGGAGGTGACAGGAAGAGAAGTGGAGGAACAAGGGCTGGGATTCTGGGGGTGCAAAGCTCCACATCTCACCTGGCTGCTCCCACCACCAAAATCCAGGGATTTTATTTTTAAGCTTCCCTTACGGCCATTTTAGAGCTGACTAAAAAGGGACATTTCTGGATTTTACTGCTTTCAGGCTGGCGGCAGAGCCCAAAAAGCACTCTCAAAAAAGATGGGAAAATGGAGCATAGGGAGCAAATGTTTTTCCTTTGTGTTATCCCCAGTGCTCAGGGGTCCTTCACCCCAATTTCTGAGATGCTCCCAATGCTGGCCCACCATGGAGAGCATTCCTCTTGTACCAGTAAGAGACTGAAGTTATCCAGAGGAGAATCCCAAACCAGACCAAAACCCCAGCTGTGAGGAAGGAGAAGGCACCAGATTGAGCAGGGAATGGTTTTGTACATTCAGAATTTTTATTTGAAAAAAAAAAAAAAATTAAAAAAAAAAGAGGAAGGAGAGGAGGAATTCGAGATTAAAAAAATAGAACTGATGGGAAGCGGTAGCGGAGGCTCCACCACTGCACAACACACGCACACGAGGACACACGAGGCTGGACAACACGGATCCCCGGGACGCAGCAGCCCGGGGAACGGGAAACTCTGCATGGCTTTATGGGACCCTCGGGTGGGAAACGAGCCGCTCCTCCCTGTCTGCCTTGGCACATCCCTGAGTCACATTCCTGCTCCTCGACGGCGGCGTCGAGGCGCCTAAACATGGGGATGGGGGGAAAGGAGGGAAAAGGGGGAGGTATCATCAGTGGAAGATCCAGAATCAGAGATTCGTGGAATTGTTCAGGTTGGAAAAGGTGTTTAAGATCATCAGATCCAACCATCGACCACCATGTTCACCACTGGCCATGTCCCCGGGTGCCACATCCAAGTTTATGGAACTCTTCCAAGGATGACGGCTCCACCAAGGCTTGGACAGCCTTTCCATGAAGGAATTTTCCCCAGTATCCAACCTGACCCTTCCCTGGTCAACCTGAGGCCATTCCCTCCTCTCCTGCCCATTCTGGAAGCAGGTCCCAACCTCCCTGGCTGTCCCCTCCTGTCAGGAGTTGTGCAGAGCCACAGGGTCCCCCCCGAGCCTCCTTTTCTCCAGGCTGAGCCCCTTCCCAGCTACCTCAGGAGCTCTCCAGACCCTCCCCTGGTGCTCCAGCCCTTCTCCAGCTCCACTCCTAGCTCTGGAGATGCCCCCAGCCCCTCAAAGCCTCTCTGGGTGTCGGGTCCCAGTGTGATCCCAGGATTCCAGGTGTAGCTCCCACACTTCCCTGCAGAGAGGAGCCGGTGGCCGTGGTCCTGCTGCCTGTTCCCAGGAACGTGCCCCTCGCTCGGCAGCACTGGCCAGAGGCAGGGAGGCCGTGGGCACGTGCGGTCCCCCCAAGGCCACGCCACAGCTGAGCCTTTACCTCCTTCCTCCCGGCTTCAGAGCGTTTCTGTGTTCATGGTCAGAGCCTTCCACACCGTGGTCTTGGACATCTCGTCCGAAATGTTGATCTCGGAAGGATCAGCCCTGCAAGGAAGATTCCACACGGTTTTCCATGAGGATGGGTCTGATCCCACCAGGAGCATTGGCAGCAGCTAGAGGAACAGGAGGGCCTGGAAAACCAGAGCTCAGCTGCTGAGGATGGTTTGGCTGGATGAGGAATTTTGGGAATCAAGCCCTGGAGTTGCAGACCCACAGCTGGTGTTTCCCCCTGTGACCTCTCAGGTGGGAGCAGGAGGGTCTCCAGATCCCAAAAAGCCACTAGTGAGATACTTTTGGGATAAAACAGGAATTATGCAGCCACTGTGTGGGGTCAGACTCTTCCATCACCTCCTAAATTGCCAGTAAATTGGGATTTTCCCACTAATATGACTGGGGATAAATCTGCAAGTGGAGAAACCTGAGCCAGACACTTCCCACTGATCCTGTCGGGGGTCCTGACCTGGGGGGTCTTTACCTGTCACTGCTGGGTTTTGGGGTGTCCACCCTGCTGGTCTTGCCCAGCTTCAGCTGAACAGAATTCGCAGCAGCTGCTTCCATCATTTTCTGGGACTCCTGAAAAGAGACAAGTCGAGTTCTCTCTTCTTGATCCAAGAGGAGATTAAAGAAATTCCAGCAAAAACCTGGCATGCTGCCCTCTCCTCTGAGCCACAGCTCCTTCAGCAGCAGGAAAAGACATTCCCCTGTGGGTGTGTTCGGGGTTAGTAGCACTGCTGGGAGCAAACCCTCACAGAAATATAATAATTATTTTTACTATAAGGGTCACTTAAAAATTATAATGATGTCTGTTCAAGTGTGAAACTCTCTCAAAATTTAGGGAAAAAGAGTTCAGAATGTGGGATCCGGGC